TTTTATTCCTTTTTTTGGTACCGGGGATCGAACTCGGGTCCTTGAGCTTGTGCAGCAGGCGGCAAAACCACTGAGCTAAATCCCCGGCCCTTTATCAGATATTTTTAAAATTTTAAATCCTTTGTGTCTTTGAGAAGAGTCTAAAAGCTGTTTCACACTTTTATTTTTCTTGCTGTCTCTTAATCATAATATTTAGTTTATAAGATTGGTAATTTTTTTGCATAAGCTCAATCCTGGCTGACCTCAATATAAGGAGAAAATCTGATGGCTAAAATGCTTTCCTCTGCAGAGGAACTGCACTGGATTCTTGGGGGAGTAAAAGCATCTTTATCAACCAAGGACCACATTCACCATTGTCACAGATCTTAGCTGAATACAGGAACCTTCTTTTCTTCCTCCCTCCCTCCTGCAGTAGTGGGGATGGAACTGAGGGCCTCACTTACTAACGCAAAAATGATTAAGTTCATTTTTCCATCTTGGTAGAATTCCCTATAGCCTAGATGCGGATCCCATCAATCATATGGACATCTGACTCCAAAGCAACTTCATTTTTTACATTCACTTACAGTTATAAATCTCACTACTGTTTCAACTGGTTTATCTGTGTATGTGTATGCATTTGCATGTTTTCCTCCCAAGACTCTCTTAATTTGGCAACCATGACCGTATACTGAAAATTATGTCTGTGTAATATACCTAGTATTTGTTTATACTGTAGTGACAGATTCCTTAAGACTATCTGGGCCCCAGACAAGTACAAGTGGAAATCATGTAACCTTTACAGATAAAGAATATTTACTACTAATACATGACTTAAAAATCTAACTGGCTTATTGCTATTCAATCAAATGGAGATGTCACAGAGAGATGAATTCAATATTTTACTCATACATAATATTAAAAAGCTTTCAAATTTGGACGTCCTTAAAATTTTCTAATCAGAGTTTTTAATTCTATTATCAAATCATTTGATCTGTCTAAAAGGGCAAAAGAAAACATGCTTTTTATAGCTAAAATTCTCAACAGTACTACAGCTACTCAAATGCTGAATACATTTCAAATTTAGCTTAATGCATCCTACACACACGATTACAAGATTCTGTTGGACAATAAAAATTGCTGGCTTAGAAAATGAAGTATCATATTATTCCCACACAAAACTAAACTGGCTTAATTTTGCAGATGACAATCTACAACCTGTTTTTCACTATGTGGTTCCTGAATAATTTGTCAATAATTTGCTACACTCACTTTTCAAGGAAAGTGTTACATATAGTATTGATGATTACACAGTGATACTAGAACTCTAAACTGGTTTTAAAAGATATCAAAATTGAACTTCTAGTATCTAATAATCAGCTTAAAATTCTCATTTAATTTGATCCCTGGTACCAAAAAACCCAAAACAAAACAAAACAAACAAAAAAACCAACTCCTGAAAATTCTCATTTAAAATTGAAAAATGATCTATTTACTCTATTAAACTACAGAAAAAAACAATACTGAAAAAGAATATTCAACATTAAAGTGTCATAAATAATATGAACTGATGGGTCTGAATGCATCTTTCCAAATTATCATATGACCTAAAGAAAACAGACTAATTTTCCAAGTTATCCAGGGTATTTTTTAAATTAAACAAAAGCAGAATTAGTTACCTCAATTACAGAACAGCTTTCAAAAGGATCTACATTTAAACTAAAATACCTATAGGACTTACAATATTTGATATAATGGGTGAATATTTTATAATCGACCCATTTAAGTCTCATTTATACTCTGATATTCTCTATAGCATGATGGACATCTACTAAGAAACCTTCTCAAGTAATTAAGTGTTACAAAAACTACTATCATATAGGATTTTTTTGTCCTGAGAACATTCTTAATATTAAGACTATGAATATTAATACATACAGTCCTGTTATCTAAAATTGAATAGCAAAGGCATATGTGATATATTCAAATGAAAATTAAACCTTTAAAGTAATCCTCAATTTTTTTCATAATAAAAGAATATAAATGCATTAGTAAATCTCATAAGACTTCACTGACCACAATTAAATAAGGACAATCATTTTCACTATTTTTATGGATACAAAATTACCGTACCATATTGAGGTATATAATTTTGACATATTCAGAGTAAATATGTAATATTTATGTAATATTTTTATTCCTTAAGGAAACACGAGCAATGAATACTCTGCATGAATAATATGCAGGCATTGGACCTTGCCCCATATACCTTTTCCCTTTGCTGATTTTGCTTCACATCCTTTAACTGTGGTAAATCATAGGCATGAAGACACCTCTAGGCCAGGCCTATGAATCTTCTTAGTAAATCACAGAACTTGGAGGCGATCTTGGAGACTTTCAACATGGTATGTGAAATATTAAAAATTGGGAACTTAAGTATGAAGTTACCTATATAATGATGCTGGAAACAGATTTTTTTTCCTTTGGAGCACCAGACATTAGGATTTGATGGCAATTCAATAATTATTAATTGTTGCATTAATAATTATAAAAATATGCTAAAATAATGAAGACAATATAGAATTAGGGATCCCTACACTTTGAAGGAATTTTGACAGCCTATGACATTATCAGATTGGAGAATGAATGATACAAGGGACATTTCAGAACATGGAAAACAAATACAGCAACAAGCTTTATGTGAAAAATTAACAACAGAATGGGACTTATAGACTTACATGAATAAATTATAATAACTGCTATTTACATTTCTTATCTGCCAAACATCTGTATCATAATTGTCTAGTAGCTTTGAAAAACATTATAAACAATAATTTCTGTGACAGAAAATGCGAAATTAGTAGTGCATTTCAAAAATTAGTCCATAAAAAGTATTGTTGCTAGCATCTACTACAAAAAATATGCCTGTGTTTATATTGCAAGGAAAGCTTACAGTTGTCAATAAATTTCCCTACTGCATTTTGACATGTAACTATTCTGTAATGCAGTCACACAAAGGAACCTGGCTCATATCTTTGTGTCTTCTGTAAGAAATATGTAAAAGTGTCTTCATTTAAACATACCTTAACTATTTCTTCAATGAAACAAATGTGAGAAACAGGATCTCTCTTTTTAGTTAGTACTTTTTGTAGATGTTGTACCTAAAGAGGGGCAGAAGATATATATATATATATAAATGTGTATTTGAAATAAAACAAATGTAAAGCTCAGGTGCTAGGCAAAGCAAGGTCCATTTCAAAAACTACTACATAAATAATATTTGTAAGGGAAAGGAAAATAGAGCCTTCATGTACATTATAAGAAGCCTACAGAAGTACTTTGAATGTTTAGAGATTTCTAAGACCTGCCCCAAGTTACACAATTTAGAAGAACCAGGAGTCAATTCATAATTAATGGTCTTTTTACCCCCTGAAATATTTACCTGTCCACAAACAGCAGAGATATGATCCATAAGTTTCTCCATATTGGTCCAAAGGGAAGCACGAAAAGCTGCAGTATTTCCTGGGGTTGGCATGGTAGATCGTCCAGGACCCCCTGGTTATAAGAGACAAAGGAAATAAGAAAAATAAAGTTTTCCAAATGTAACAAAATATACTCTATTCTAAAAAGCATGCAAAAGACAATAAATGAGAAGCTCTATTTTAATGGAATGATTTCTTATAACTAATATATAATTTGTGTTTAAGGGAAACATCACACACACAACACACATATGTACACACAGACATAACAGACACACATTCATGAAAGACAAAGTGAAATTAATGAAAATGCTTTCCAAAAAAGAAGTTAAAGGAGATAGAACAAGGTGTGGTACACGGATTATAATGAGTCTTCCTGACTGAAACAAATATTCTGTAATATTCTAAAATATTCTGTACCCACATGAATGTTTGTTATAGTTTTTTTTGAGACAGGCTCTTGCAATGTAGTTCAGGTTGGCATTGAACTCACTATGTAACCCAGGCTGGCCTGGAACTCACTATTATCCTCCTGCCTCAACCTCCCAAATACTGAGATTATAGGTGTGTGGCACCACATCCGGCTCACATGAATGTTTCACATATTCCAAAAACAAATTTAATTTTTTTTTTTTGAGACAGGATCTCACTATGTAGTTTAGGCTGGCCTTGACATCTCTATGTAGCCCAGGCTGGTCTCCAACTCACAGTGATCCTCAGCCTCTCAAGTGCTGGGACTACAGGCACGTGCAACCACGCCTGGCAAATTTAAATTGAAAAAGAACAAAAAATACTAAAATTGAATACAAACAAATAAGGAAACAAGTGAAAATACCTATAAGGCAAATTAATAATACAACCGGGGCGAGGAGTAAATTTTGTTTTTTGGTACCAGGTAACGAACTTGGGACCTTGCCCTTGTGAGGCAGGCGACAGCACCATTGAGCTAAATCCCCAGCCCATGGGTTAGTAATTTTTAATCACAGGACACTGATTTTAGTGAGAGACATTTTATGAGCAAAATAACCCCCCCCAAAAAAAAACTACAAAGAAATCATGAGCTTAATAGGTATGTTGCTGCTTGTGGTAATGATGTAGTAATCCTGCAAATAGTTTAGGTGTGTTCTAGAACACAGCAAGTAGAATCAAGGTACAAATATGTCATGCCAATTACAGGTATTTCCCAACTATCTACTGGAAAAACAGAGCTAATGATTCCTCAACAGTAATAAGCAATCTAGAATCCAAACCTCGATTTTTAAAGTACCATCTATCAACCCCCTCCAAGCTTCACTGAAGAAAAGACATTTCATATCTGGAATAATGGAAATACAAGGTGAAACTGGTACATATTGTGCCAGAGAGTAAGGAAGTATTCAAAGACAAATGGAAATATAGACAGGATACATGAATTTGACTGTCGTAGGCTATGAAACAAACTGGGGAAAATTTGGTCATCCAAAATAATACTGATAACAGATTATAAAACAATAACCAAAAAACAACTCACGAGTTCACAGTGAAAACTGTGAACACATTTAAAAATGACAGAAACTGCTCTTTACACAAAAGTACCCATTAATTAAATACAGAAAGAATGACAGAGTTGGGGGGGGTACAATTTTGCAGCTATTACTGTAAAAATTAACTGAGGGAAAGATTATGAATGAGTATCAAGGTATGTGAAATTTTATAGGGAACAAGATATTCACATGGTCTTAAAGTACATACCGTTAAATTACTAATTATAAAGAAAATACTCTAACAAGGATCAATCTAGTATATATACTATAATGAAGTGATCCCATTCAGCATCAGCAATAATGGGACAAACTGACATTTTTTTGTTTTCCAATATAATGTACAGTAGTCCCTATTTTTGGTTTCACTTTCTGTGGTTTTAGTTACCAATAATCAATTATGGCCTGAAAATACTAAATGGAAAATTCTAGAAATAAAATATTCAAAAGTTTTAAATTGGGTGCCATTCTGTGTAGCATGATGAAATCTATGCTATCCTGTTGTCCTGCTAGAATGTGAATCATCCCTTTGTCTAGTGTATTCACGTTGTACTTGCTATCCACCCTTTAGTCAAGGCATCTTGTTTATCAGATTAACAGCAGCAGCATCTCAGGCCTTGTGTTCAAGTAACCTTTATTTTATTGAAAAATGGCCCCAAAGACCAAGAGTAGTGATGTTGGCAATTGAATTATAGCACATTGTTATAAGTGTTCTATTTTATTATTAATTGTTGTTAATCTCTTACTATGCCCAACCTACAAATTAAAGTTTGTTATAGGTATGTATTTATAGGCAAAAACATAGCGTGTGCAGAGTTTGTATTAAATGCAGTTTCAGGTATCTAGTGGTGTTATGGTTTACATCTAGACGTTCCTTCAAAGAAAGTCTCATGCACTCATAGGTGGGGCTTCTGGCAGGTGACTGGATCATGAGGGTGTGAGAGTCATCATTGGACTAATCCACAGATGAGTTCATAGCTAAATGTGATGTTGGGAGGCAGAGTCTGGTAGGAAGGGGGGGTGTCTGGAGGCATGGCTCGGAAGCATTTATCTCCCTTCCTAGCTTCTCCCTTCACTCTCTGCTTCCCTACTACCAAGACATGACACGAGCAGCTCTCCTCTGCCCCTGGCTCCTCTGCCACACTGTGCTGCCTTGCAGCTGGCTGACCATGCAAAGAGTGAAACTTCTAAAATGTGAGCCAAAATAAACCTCTTCTTCTTTAAGGTATGACTGTGGGTATTGTGTCCCAGTAATGAGGAAAGTGACTAAGACAACGGGGGTCTTGGAACATATTCATCCCATGGATCACTGTAATGGGAGGTGGGGATGACTGTAATGAGAAATACACATCACTCTACTATGAGTATGGTCACCATGAACTGAACCACGCAGACACAATGAGACAAATCCATATTAAATGGGTCTCCAAATAATCAAAAGGGCTGTGTATGATTAAACCAATAGAAAAGAATGATTCCTGACTGGTTCCACTTGGGGGAAACCCAGCTAAAAAAAACATTTCGAAGGGCAATTGAAAATGTTGGATAGGGACTGGTATTAAATGATATTACCCTACTTGGGGGGGGAGGGATAAAATAAAATCTATTTATAAATAAATAAATAATATTACCCTATCATTGCTGAATATCTTAAGAGAAGCCAGGGGTGATGGTGCACATCTGTAATCCCAGCACTCAGAAGGCTGAGGCGGGAGGATTGCCACAAGTTCAAGGACAGCCTGAACTACATAGTGAAACTCTGTCTCAAACAAACAAACAAACAAACAAACAACCCCAAACAAAAGGTAAGAATGTTTGAGAATGTTCTTATATGTAACAAAAACACAAAGCTCTTTGTACAGATTTGAAATATTTCAACATAAAAATAGGAAATTTAATCTTAAATTGCAAGGCATAGATGTCAGTCCAAACTAAGGTTAAAAAGCAGGCAGAAGTTTCTGAAAAGAACAAATAGAAAAGAAAAATAATCAATATACAATGGAATAAAACCTCTATAAATGGGAATACACTCTAGCTCAGAAAAAATAATTAGTACAAAACATTCAACTCTAACATATATCCTAAAAAGTTACTAATCTTCAATGATTTAAAAAAAAAATTGTACAGGGCTGGGGATTTATTTATTTATTTATTTTGGTACCGGGGATGGAACTTGGGACCTTGTGCTTGCAAGGCAGGTGGTGGAACCACTGAGCTTCGATCCCCAGTACCTCCCCACTGCCCCCCCAAATTTGTATGCCGGGTGTGGTGGCTCACACCTGTAATCCCAGCACTCCAGAGGCCCAGTCAAGAGGAATGCTGCAAGTTTGAGGCCAGACTGGGGTACATGGGGAGTTCAAGGCCAGACTACACAGTGAGACCCTGTCTCAAAAACAGAAAACAAAAATATGGTATATTCACCAACAAAGCAAGTATCTGTGTGTGTCATAAACTTTCTCTAATATGTCTGCTGTTAGAAGGGACCCACCCCATTTCCCCGGACTCATCTTTGAAGTGGGAACTTCAGTTAACATAAGGGCCTGCTCTCCCTGTCTTTTACTCACTCTCCCCCTGTGCAAACAAGAGACTTGCTGAGTGGTAAGTGTGTGTAGAACTGAGCCTAACTGACTTGTCTCTTCTGTCTCTCTCACTGAAGCTTTCTGTGTATAGATATTGGGTCCTGACTTGCACTCTACCAGGGGTAAGTATAGCAGGGCAGGCTGACACTTGGGGACAAAGTTTCTACTTGAGGTGATATATTAGGAAATCCACTTGACTACAGACCTAAGCCATGCCTTTCACTACAGGTTTTGTTTTTAAATCAGTAATAAAACTAACATTTTAACTATCTTGTTTGCAATATCTGTATCTCTCATTTTCAAATTCAATAAGGAAGAAAAGTATTTCTTGAGCCACAGTTACAAAATTCCAATGGAAAGAGTGCAAATTAGTATTTATACCTACTAAAATTAAACATAAAGGCAAAAGACACCGTTAAGTATACAACTCAGAAAACATAGTTCCCATGAAATACTTTTGAAAAATCAATTATTAAAAAATTTAGGCAAGGGAGAGATGAGTGCAAAAATGGAGAGGTAATATAACTAGAGATGAAAACCAAACCACTGAAAAACAGAAGAAAATGTAAAAAGTACCAAGGACCCCAAACTAACAAATTCTTCATAAATACAGAATGACACCACAAACCCTAGCCAGCAAGCAAACAGAACTACTATAAGAGTGACGTTCCCTGGTTCTCCTCCCTCCTAGTCATGTTTCCTTTGCTATCTCTCCAGAACAAGTCTTAAATTTGGTGATTTTCATTCCATATAGTTATACTTTACTTAAACATGTATAAATGTAAAACAATATAGTATAGGTTTTTCATGTTCTTAGGCTTTAGATATGGCATTATATTGTATGTATCTTCTTGCAGTTTACTTTTTCATGTTCTGCTTTTGAGAATTATCTATACTGATAAATTTATTGATTTAAGTACTACTGAACAATTTAATAAACTAATTTATCCATTTTCCATCAAAGCAAAGGTTATTTTAACTTTCACTATTATACATCATAGTATAGAATAAAAATTCTTATATATATGGGTCATTTTCTCTAAGGCATATTCTTTTTTAAAAATTAATTTTCTTGGTACATTTTAGGTATACATTATAATGACATTTATCATTGGAAATTTGTACCTTTTCGTAATCTATCTTGGTTCTTATTTTTATCCCCATTCCCTTTCCCTCCCTTCAATCCCTTTTCCTCTCTTTATTTACAAAGACTTTGTTTTCCCAATACCTGGGATCAAACTCAGGTCCTTGTGCTTACCAGGCAGGCACAGCACCACTGAGCTACATCCCTGGCCCTTTAAGGCATATTCTTATAAAAAAAATTAGAGCCAAGTGTGGTGGTGCACGCCTGTAATCCTAGCACTTGGGAGGCTGAGGCAGGAGGATCACTGTGACTTCAAGGCCAGTCTGGGCTACATGAATTCAAGACCAGGCTGAATTACATTGCAAGACCTTGTCTCAAGAAATCAACAAACAAACAAATAAGATCATAAGGAATACCTATTTTTTAATTTAAAGATCAAATTGTAAGATGGAATAATAGTGATTGAAACATTCTCCCACAAGTACAGAACAGTTTCTGTTCTCATTGAACACTTAGTTCCCTTAGAGTTTTCCAGATAATTAAGAAATAGCATCTTGTTTAATCTGTATTTCCTTAATAACTATTTCATCTTCTAAAAATAGTCTGAACATTTTCATGTGTTTATTGGGTATGTCCTCCCATAAACTTCATATTCATAGTCTGTATTTTTGTCAATCGAGTTACCTCTTTCTCAAATTATAGGCTTTTTATACATTCGAGGTAACATTATTTTCCTTAAAATTGTATTGCTATATACACATGCAGCCCAGCTGCCAATCTTGAACAGCGTTCTCTGGTCTATGAAGTTTTTGTTCAAAACTTTTTTGTTCCCTTGAACTAACAATCTCAAGATATACAAGGCTTTAAGAGATTGTATGTTATCAAACATATAGAATGAACTAATACCCAGGATAAACTCTAAAACATCATATACTAGTTCGGTAAATTCAAGTAAGTCACAGCCATCCTTTTCATATCTATAGTTCCAAAGTCCACTTAAAAATACACTTGTAAACCTGCCATTTTCATTTAGATATAGTTTGACTATGCCAAATAAAGAACAACTGTTAAAAACTTTTTTAAAAAATAAAATGAAATTGCATTGCTATATATTTTTGTAAACTTTGAAACAATCTTTGTTTGTTTTGTTTTTTTGGGTACCAGGGATCAAACCTGGGACCTTGCACTTGGGAGGCAGGCATCTGGTGGCATCACTGAGCTAAATCCCCAGCCCTGAAACAATCTTTTGTTTGTAGATTTTCTACTGTAAAAAAATGTTTTCCCTGAACCATTTACAACTAAGTCATCAACATGACATCCTGTTGTCCTTCCATACTGTAATGTATGTTTCCATCTGAATATTCTCCTACAAAACCTCAATATAGCAAAGATAAGGAAATTAACACACTGCCCATGTAACACTTAAAAAATAAAAATAATAGTGATTATTCATTTAAAATAATAAAGCATTTATGCTCAAGGTTTCTACATTTAAATCACGATATCCACTCCTTTACCGATGATGATAATCAGGGAGCTTTAATACTCTTCATTCTTTCAACAAAAGAGGTCTACATTAAGATTGATAGCATGTGAATAATTGCTTTCCTTTTTTTCCTCCTATTCTTGACAACACAAGAGGGAATGAGATTAAACTGCTCCTGGAAATTTAAACATTAAGTCAAACTTTGAGAATAATTGCTGAGAAAAGTTGAGAGTTAAATCTCCTTTGGCAGTTTATTTTCAAAGATCTTCTTCTGGAATAGTCTTAATACAGATCTACTCAAAGGCTACGGTTAACCTTTAAAAATATCTCTTTGAGATCTAAGATTCCTTTATCTCTTTTTATCTAGTGAATATATGAGTTATACATATTCAGTGTTACTTAGGGTCATGTTTATATAGCAAATATGAAAATACTAAATGGCTGCAAAATTATTTTTTTCTTTTAGTATTAGCCATGTATCAGAAACTGTTAATTATTCTACATGAGTTATTTCGTTTATTCTTCAGGACAATTCCATGATGAGTAGTGGGCCTTCAATTAGAAAAAAAAAAGAAAGGAGGACAAAAACTAGAAATATTAAGCGTAGATAACAGTTTGGGAAAGTTTTCTGTAGACTGACAAAATAAAGTGGGGTAGTAAAGCTGAAGGAAGAAGTTGAGTCAAGATAGACTTGTTTTTGAGAAAAGGAGATAGATAACTGAATGTGATGGAAAAGAGATGCAGAAAAGGAAAAATTCAGAAGGCAAAGAGAAAGCATATGCTAAAACAATACCCTGGTGTCATGGGACCTGACAGAAAAATAGCGGTCTTTACTAGCAGAAAACAGTTCCCCCATACTAACTGGAGAAAACAAAGAATATAAAGAGAGGGCAGGGGATTTAGCTCAGTGGTTCCGTCGCCAGCCTCGAAAGAAGAAGGTCCTGAGTTCAATCCCCAGTACCCCCCAAAAAAAACAAAAAAAAAAGAATATAAAGAGAGAAATGGAGGCATAGAGTTGCACCAAGTAGGTGAGATGTGCACACAATGCATGTCCTCTCTTCTTTTCTCTTTCATTATTATTATGTCATCAGCAGGTAGGGCTTGGCAGGAAAAGGGCTGTAAACTGCTAACACAGGGCTACTCTTTTCCACCTGGAGTTCACCTCCTTTTAGTGGTTTTCTTTAGATTTTGCTATAGTTGTAGTCTTCCCAAATCTTTTATCAGTATATCTTTGGTCGTTACTGCTCCTGAGTACAAGAATTATAAGGAAAACTCCAGAAAGCTAAAGCAGAGATGGCATCCCTTAAAAAATATTTTCTTCTCAGTAAGAAGTACATGAGGGTAAGAGCTTCAGAAAGAAAAATCTGTTCTGTTCTGTTCTTTCTTTCGCATCTGTTTCAAATAAATGATGCCACAGCTTAAAAATCGTTTTCTAAAAGTTGTGAATATACCAACTGGCCAGTTCAGCTCACTGACTAGACAAAAAAATTATAAATAAATTCTGAAACATAATTTCTCCTCTCATTTTCTGTCTACTAAAAAATGAGTCATTAGATTGCTTTGAAATAAGAGTTTTTCACATACTATTCCAAGGACTTCTCAGTTATAAATATATAAAGATGGTAAATATAAATCACACTCATACCTCTCACAGCTGACTGGGAAGGCTGAGTCAATACTTTGATGTCTAATGCACCGCTGATATTTTCTTCTAAAGTAGCACAATATCCATCCACAACACTGGTGATAGTATCCTTCAAAGTTCCAAGATTATGAAAAACCTGAAGAGCCGTTCCAACTTGAGTTGGATTCTTAAATAACGGTGAGGTGGGATGGAAACAGATAAATGAGAAACAAGTAAAATTAATAAAAAATCTACAATTGAAGTGATATTGAAAAATTATTACATTTTAAAATTATCAAAGACAAGAATAAAACAATCTGAAACAAATATAATGTTAGTCATTATTTCAAGGGACAAAAGTTAAATACTATATTATCCCACCAATTTCCTTTTCCTCCTCCTTTATAGGTGTAAGAAAATTTGAAGTCTGTTGTATAATATTAGAGATTATTTAAAATTTGTCACTAGGGCTGGGGATTTAGCTCAGTGATTTGACCACCTGCCTCCCAAGCGCAAGGACCCAAGTTCAATCCCCAGTACCAAAAAAAAAAAAACAACAACAAAAAAAATAAAGTAAAATTTGTCACCAATCTCTACAAAGGGAGTCCTGATGGAAGAGAAATCCTGTATTTGTTAAATGACACATAAATGTATTTTGCAGAGTTGACAGAAAAGACACATAAAGTTTTTTTTTCAATTAAATTCTTTTATTGTTACATTGTAGGTATACAACACAATTACATTTGTCATTGGGAATTGTACCTTTACATAATGCATCTTGGTTCTTATTTTTTCCCCATTCCTAGCCCTCCCTTCATACCCTCCACCCTTCCCTATATACA